AGCCCCCTCCCCACACTGGCCTGCTCCAGACGCCTCCATGCGCGCGCAGGAAGTTGCAGGCAGGCCCCAGCACCCCGCAGGATGAGGCCCCCCACGGGGGCTCGCCCCTCCCCCCCGTGACACCCCGCACTCACCGCGCGGCTGCTCCCAGGCTCCCGGGGAGACACTGCCGCCCGCGCACGGATCCCCGCCGGGCGCTATTTTGGGGAAACAGGGTCCAGGCGGGGCCGGAACTACTTCCTCTGTCACACACACACACTCGGCGGAAGAATACTTGGATGTCTCCTTCCGCCCGTCCCGAGGCCGCGCAGGCCGCTCCCGCGAGGCGGCAGAGGGTGGAGGAGGGCTGCAGGAGCTCCTCCGCGCTCGGCTAAAAGCGGCCGGAGCTGGGATAGGGATGCGCAGCGCGCCGCACCTCTCCGCACTATTTTGTTTGGTGCCAGGGAGCGGCCGGGTCTACGTTCTTCATGCGAACAGCTGCGCGACGTGATAGGGCGGCGAGGGGGAGTGAAGGCAGGGAGCAGCCAATCCGCGAAAGAGGGGGGTGGGATAAAGCGAAAGCGCCAGCCACTTAGGAAACAAGTGATGGGCGGGGAGTGACAGCGAGGGATGGCCAATCAGAGAAAGGGGGTGGAAAGCCTCGACCAATAGGAACTACGTTCTCCCAAAGGACTGCTCCGCGCCTTCCCCCCCACGGCGCATGCGCGCAGTGGTGACGTAAGCGCACGGGTTCGGAGCCCAGGCGGGAAGTTGCGCATGCGCTCTTGGTGCCTCCCGCCTGATAGAGCCCAGCCCCTGCCCTTGCCCCTGGAGGAGGCAGCAGGCTGGCATCTCCCCATTGTCTCTCCCTGCCCTAGAGCAAACGTATTATTTATCCCTGCTCCCAGGCAAAATAAATGGAATGCTGTGAGTGCTATGCGCAGTTAGCGCTATGCACGGTGCATGGTTAACAGCCCAAAGGTTGCACGTTTGAAGCCATAGTAGCAGGTCCCAGCACAGGCATGGGCAAACCGGCCCGAAAATAGTTAAAATTAGTATTATTTTTCTCTGTGGCCATACTGAAAATTTGCTGGGAGCCGAGGTGCGGTGCCGCCGTGTCAGAGTCTCTGCTAAAGACCTTGTTGCAAGGACGCAAAAGAGGAAAGAAGGCAAAATGAATTGCCAGCAACAGCCAAATTGGGCTGGTTAACAGTGAGGGCCTGGCTAAGGAGCTCTTGCTGCCTGGCTGGTGCAGGCCTGTGTCAGACTTCACCCCGCTGACATGTAGCTGGACCAGCAGAAGTTTCTCCTTCATTATGGTGCCCTCCCGCCAAGCCGGGCTCTAAGAAATTAGAGAAAGAGCCTGGCTGCTCAACTCCAAGGGCATGCCCTTGAGCTAAAGGAAAATTTGCTTAACTGGGACTAGAAGAAGGCCTCTCCCTGGGTCTGATGCTGGAGGATAACAGGACGTGTTTCATAGTTGGTGGTGGCTGGAAGGAGGGTCCATGTGCACAAAGGCCTGTGCAGTTACCACATACAAATGGCCGTGGCCTTCTTGGCTATACGAACTCACTTTTGCTTTTCATAGCCACAAATACAGAAAAGAAAAAAAGCGGGGGGAATAATCAATGTTCCTTTTTGCTGCAAGACAGTAAGAGGGGGAACTAATGCACCCAGCATTTGCAGCAGTCGCTTGCTTATCACAACTCAAGACCTGGGTTAATGTAAACTCCCGCTCCTCTTGCTGGCTTGGGTAAGTAATGCTTCGCTATGACCCCTCCCTCACTGTTCACTTCCATGCACCATTCCTCACCAAAGGATGTTTTGGCATTTATTTTCTCTCCAAAAAAAAAAGGTTCCTTACAAATAATGACATCATCAGTTTTCTGTCTTTGATATCTTTGTCCTTCACAAGGGATAATGCTAAGAGAGGGACACTAAAAGGATTTTTAGAGGATAAGAAGTTACTTACCAAGAAAGAGATTTGAAGCAAAAATTATCACCCCTATGAAGCTTCATTGCAAGGTAGCAAGCCCCGGATCATGGCCATGTCACAAAAATTAGCTATTGGGAAGGGGTGCTTCTTTTGTAACTGAAAATGAGAGGATATTTCCATTACTAACTATCGTTAACTAAATAACTATAACTAATCAGAGTAGGAAAAAGGAAAGAAGCAAATGAGGGAAGTATGTTCAGGGCAGCATTGGAGAACAAAAGCAGACCTACCTCGGCAATTTCCCCCTTTCCCACCCAAAAATTGTAACTAGCAACTGTCTTATTAGGTGTGCTTTAGCTCAGAGGGAGAAAGTCCTGGATTAGGATTTATAACAGAAGCATTACCGAACATTTAATTAACGTAAAACCATGTCAAGTAACCTCTACCACCAATAAAATGGAACATGGATTGCGGAGGGCAAGCTAAATGAACAGGTATACAACATTACTTTCAGTTTAATCAAGAGAATGGTAGGATGTTGTGTAGGGGACATAAGGAAACTGCCAAATACATACAAGTGTCATATTTGAAGACTTTTACGTAATCATCAGGAAAACACTTAGGCAAGGAAGTCACGTATCTTTCTCAACATGTTCATCTTGACAAGTAACAAAGTCAAATGTAATTAATGTTAATTGAGATATAAAATGTATTTACTATTTCTGAAAAAAAACCTAGCAATTAATACCTTGAAATCCTTTTAAAAGAGAACATGATAAGAGTCAGTGGGCCAAATCTTGCATTCCTTATTCAGGCCTTGATTTGTAGTCAATGGGTATGCTTGAATAACTTAGTAAGGGCTTCTGAATGTATCCGTTAATATGATTCAGCACTGAAAAGAAATCATAGTCAAAGTGAAAAAGATAGAAAAGAATCCAAGACTAAATGGTTCTTTCTAACAGTATTAGGGGTACAGATACAACATTTGTTATCCAAGTATCTTTATATGCCCTATCAAGAGCTGAAAATCACAAGTAAGGGATATAGAGAAGGAGTTCTCATTTACTACTGAAACATGCTCACATCTGTGTCAAAAACATAATGCAAAAGAACAATTTAGGAAAAAAATGAAAAATATAGTTTCCAACGGAAACTACAGATGTTTTTTTCTGTACCTAAAGATTTACTTCTACAGCTACTGCCACAACCCTGACCTTTAGGCTAAAGACAGACATTGCACTTGTCCCTGGACTAGTTGTGCTTATGTTTATCCCAGAACAGAAATATCCTGGGATTGGAACGTACTCACCCTTCTAATCAGGGTTTAGTGAGCAGTTCAATTCACTGCTTTTTTCTGCTATTGAATCAATGATGCAATCCTGGAATAACCATCCAGATGCACTTTGCGATGTCTCGGGATATACTGCAAGGATTTCTTATTCCATTAACCTTTTTTAGGCTGTATACTGAGACAACAGGCACGGAAATGAAAGTAACTGAAACCTCTGAGCGAGCTGTAAGCCTTGTTTTATGCTTACTTTAATTTCCAGAAAGGCTTCAAAAGGTAGCCCCGAGCAGAATGCAGTGGAGTAATCCAAAGTGAAGGAGAGGAAGGCATAGATAATCAAGGCACTACCCACATCAACCTGCTTAGACAGATGCAAATAGTAACAAAGAACTTCTGGCTACTGCATCCGCATAAGAAACCAGTAGTAGATAGAAACTGAATCTGAAATGCACATTCTTTTGTAATGGTGGGTAAATCAACCAGCCAGCACTTCTTCATGCACACCTGGCCTAACATTACTACCTTGTTGTCTACCCTCCACCAAATCTGAACTGCTCCTTTTCTTTACGTTCAGCATTAACCAGGAAACTAAAGAAACTTTAGCCACTGGATCTAATTGTACAGCACCCCAGACTCTTTCACCTTTTCCACAGGAAGAGCAATGGACTAAAGCTCACAGGATATCACAAAGTGTGCCTGTATGTCTAGTGAGTAATTATCGAATTAGCACTTACAATCACTCTTTGGTCAAGAGAGAGAGAATCACTAAATGCTGTTCCATCCACCACGCTCCAGGCTTCTCTCACAAATTACCAAAACTGACAGACAGTGGCATCAAAGATCACAGATGGACCAAGAAGAACTGCTGAAACACCCCTCCCATTGCCTCTGAAGACCATTGCAATTTCTGCACTACATGTACAAATATGAACAAAGAACTAGCAACACCATACAGGAAAACCATGGACAGAAAAACACAATTTCAGGCCTCATTTTAAGTAGATACAGTCTTTTGGCTGAATTTCCATTAATGTTGTCCACCTGGGTCTACTCCATTAGAGGTTTTCAGGAGTTTGGGGTGCCTATAAATAAGCTATCCTCACCAACCCCAATTAAGTCTTGACCCACATCTAAAAGCAAGCATGACTGTGGCAGCCTCTTATGTCATCTCTAGAACATGGTGGCATTTTAGTTCCTTCATATTGTATTCCTATACAACACCTCTCCGTTTCTAGCTCTTCATTAACGTGCCTCATGTCACTTGTTTAAAAACAAAACAAAACCTAGGAACTGCAACATTGTGAGGAATGAAAGGGTGCATGGCTTTGGGCATTTGTCACAATGCAGGGGGGGAAATGTAATTTAAAATGTTCTGAAAGATACACAGGAGGATAAACGCAACCTATGAAACAAGGTTTCTTCAATGCAGAGGCCAAATTTATTCTTGGTGTAACTTCACCTAAATTGGTAGAGATAATAAATAAGGACTTTTACAAAGGGTATGTTTGCTGAAAGAAAAACTCTACCCACAGTATTGCCCGCTGGGAAATACTGCTTTATTACCTGACATTACAAAGTGAGGAAGAGAACTCAAACTTACAAAAAAAGGAAGTAAGGGCGGGATGGAGAATGACTCCATGCCATTGTTACTCAGCGGGCATGTCTGCATGTGCATTTACGCTGGCTTAAATTTACTGTGCAGCAAGTGGGAATAGGCTAGCATCTACACGTTCAGGCGTTAAAGCGCATTAACGCACTGTGTGCGAACTGACTTGGGACTAAAGTTAGCCCCAAGTCAGTCCATACACACACTGTTACTGAGCAGTAAGGCATCTATATGTGCATTACTGCGCAGTAACTAATTGGGCTAATACTTATACCATGATGCAAGTCTTAAATTTACACTCAAGTCACCATAAGTCACCATATTTTCTGCACGGTATGGGTGTGCACGTGCAGATGCGCGCCTGTACTGTGCAGTAATTTTGGTTACCGCACAGTAAACGTGCATGCGTAGATGCACCTGTGTAACCTCATTAACCTTATGATGACCAGTTTCCCAAAAAGACCTCAAGCTCCTCAGAAAGCAGGCTTAAAATCTACATTAAGGAGTTTATTCTTCCTGGCTGAGATTTCATCGTACACTATTCAATCCAGTGTATGCCATCCCCAACTACAGCCAAAGGCTTTGGAAATTTCCCTATTTTGGTGGAACCCTACTTGCCCAGCCATGTATGAA